AATCACTCGGGAACAACCTATATTAGAGTGGTCCCGAAACGCTTTAATATTATTCATTAGTATTGGAAATGCAACAGTTTGATACATTTTTTAATATAATTGTTTTTTATCAAGGTATTAGAAATAATGAAGTAAACTACAAATGTATTCAAGTTAATGATTTCAAATAATCCATCAAATAAAATTGTATCTAAAACAATGTATTTCGTACAATTTATTTAAAATAAAGTATTTGAACTACTTTCTATTCGAATTCTGTATTTAATATTCAACGTATTCAAGTATAAATGCATTTAAAATACAAACGTATTTGATGATTTTATTGAGAATAAAATAGTTTGGATACTGTATTTTAAATTAAAAAAATAAACATTTTTTTAAACCATTCTTAATGATTGAAATATTTTATTTAAAACAAAACATTACTTTAAGTATTTTATTTGAATTACTATTTTTAATATAATGATTAATACAGAATTTAGTCATTAAGTATTGGGATAACTTGAATTAAAGCTCAAATAAAGTATTTCAGAGTATTTCTACTCTATCTAATACTGCCAATTTCTAAGTACAGGTATTAATTCACTATTGGCTGAAATTTCTTTTCAAGTCTCTCCGTTCATTCCATCATTGTGTCATAGTAAAATAAATTAAAAAATGAACTTGTGAAATGATTAAATTACTTTAAAATAACAATAGTTTTTTAAAGCATTTTTTAATTTAATTAAAATAATGAGCAAATGTATGATAGGCTGTTTAAACGAATTATAACTGAAAATAAAAATTTTTATTATAAATGGGCAGATTACAATATGTAAGTTGATTATTGTTGGAAAATTATATTAAGTTAAAGCAGCGGACGTATGTTTTTCTTGATTTTTCAGAACTTTCACCCTTTGTAAGAAGAATTAAAAAAAAAGAGAGGAATTTGGTTTGGAAAAGCGCAAATAATAAAAAAGGACACTCGTTTTTAACAGAAATGGAAAAAGAAAAAAAAAAAAAATATGTACGCACCAGCAAGTCATTCACCACGTCCTACTTACCTCACTTACCTGTCGGTACGTATCGGTGAGCTACTACTACGTAGCAAACTTTTCAAACCGAGTCCGTCCACGTGGGTGACTGTAGACTTACGTCATGAGCCGGTGTGCACACATCTCTGACAACATCAACTAAAAATTTGGTCTATATATACTAACCAGACACTTTTTTCGCCACGTGCGGGAGCGAATCATGCCGCCACGCGGTCGGAGATTCAGTTATACCATTATGTCAGCATTTACAATGCCAGTGTTTATCCGTTGTCGAACTTGTCGATAACCAATACAAGTCTGCCAAAGCGTAACCAAACGGGACCCCTACCTAGCGGCAAATTCAAACGTTATAAAACCAATCATCTTATATTCAAGCTCTTAAGCCCCTGAACCCTTTACCCCAAGTTTTTTAACCCCATAACCCTGTACTCTTAAGTCCTTAAACCAAATGACCTGGGGTGTAGAGTTCAATGAGTTAATAATTTCGTTTTTTTGTAAACATAAATAGCGCTACTTATTAGAAAAAAAGAAAATAACTAGTAAATCGTTAAAATGGTATTGATAGGGTGAAAAAAAATTAATAATTGAAATAACTCGATTAGCTTATGGAATTAAGATTATTAACAAACATATTTTTCCACTCCCAATCCCTTGAGCTCCTAACCCTTTACCCCAAGTGCTTTAACCCTATAACCCTGTACTCTTAATCCCTTAAACCAAATAATCCTGGGTTCCGAGTTTAATTAGTAGTTAATAATTACATTTTTTTATCAACTGTAAAAGAGTTACTTGTCTTAAGAAAAAGAAATAACCTAAAGGAAATAATCCATTCACCTAACAACACTTTAATTTTGGTGCGGTATGGCGATCGTTACGTTACTAGGAGAAACATGCTAGATTTTAAATTAAGTCTAGCTCATCACTTATATACATGACAAATTAAAACTTTTTAAAATTAAATATATAAAAAGTGACACAGTAAAACGATTTGAAATTTTTTACGGTATACATACGTTCAAAGTTTTGAAAAGATTTATCAGAAAAACCTACGTGTAATAAGTGTCCTCTTAAACCCCATAACTCTCTATGCAATTCCAACATTAGTAGTAAACTGATGCGTTTAGTTACATCAGTTGATTTTAATTAATTACTAATCACCTTAACTAATTCATCACAATTTTTATGCAAAAAGTGCTAACAACAACTTCGAGTGTCACAACTTTAAAACTTTTACAACTACTGAAGTTGTACTGTACAAGGATAAATAACTTATAAGTCTAGTGAAATACAAGAGTGATACTATTTTATAATTTGATTTAATTTTATAGATATAGTCTTTTTTAAAAAAAATCGAATAATGATCTACTTTATTTTTGGTCATTTTCTAGGGTAGAAGAATTTAAAGTAAAAGGCTAGAGGCTTCAAAGCTTAAAAATGAGAAATTTTATGTGTTAATAATTTTTACTCATAGGGTAACCAAGTTATTTTAATATTCTTTTTCAACCCACAAAGATCATTCAAATCATTTACAAGTTATTTATTTTTTTTTGTGATAAGTAGCTCTTTTATTGTTAGTAAAAAAATGAAGTTATAAACTAATTGAACTCCATACCAAGGGTTATTTTGTTCAGGTTTTATAACGTTTGAATTTGCCGCCACGCTGTCGAACTCCAACACTATTGCGCAATGTTATTTTGTATAGATTTGTACGTAGATGGCTGTCTGCTACAGCAATATTCTCTGCACCACGTGTTTTGCGTTTCGGTCAGGATTGAAATTTCTTGGGTCATTTAATTTGCGTGAGTTCAAGTGTTAAAACGTAAAATGGGCAAATTTGGTCCACGCCTAGCCACGAGAAAAAAGGCTAAGCGCTGGAGGAAAGGTCAAAGTGCCAGCTCGAATCCTGAATCAACGAAACACCGGGACCAGGTGCGCTCGGCTTTTTTCCAACCCATTTCTGGTGAGTAAAATTCAAGTGCAGCCTCCAAATTTGCATGGCAGGGATACGTTAATTTTTCTTTAATTATTCGTTTGTCAATCAGGCGGTGGTAGTCTTACGGTCGATGCTCTGACAAAACACAATGCCTTCCAAGGAAAGCAGCCAAAGATCAAAGATCATGACTCCAAACAGATGGATGATGACTCGATGGATGCATCTACTTGCGAAACATTTGACACATTTGCCACCAGTTACACCAATTGTACAAACATTTCGTTTAGTCGGTAATGATTTTCGGCTCCCTTATCAAAATTACTTCAGTTGATACAACATTTGTCTAAAATATCTTCCCGTCATCCAGATTCTTGGACCACTTTCAATCTAATTCGGCAATTCACAAGGAAATGCTGGCTGTTTTAGCAGCTATTACCGAAGTTATCAAACAAAATGGAGGCACTGAATCTTCAACGGAGTATTATGCAGCTCTTGTGAGTCAATAACATCCTTCGATAGCTTCTAGCTACTACTGTTATCTACAAAATTGTTTGAAAATAAAGATTTATGTGATCTAATTTTGTCTCATTTTGCAGATGACAGCCTTAGAAGCTGCAGAAACACAAGATTCGGTCACTGCTATCATTTCGCTTTTGGGTATGGGTATGAAAACCGTGCCAAAAAATGTTCTGAAACAACAGTTTGGTCGTGCCAGTCAAGTGTTTTTGGAAATAATGACCAAACATGCGAGCGAAGAAAACTTCCTAATCTTGAGACACGTAAGATTCCATCAAAGTTTTCATGCTACCCATTCTTATTTGCAGTTTAGTTGAACGTGTTTAATTTACAGTGCATAAGTTGTCTGTCCATTTTACTGAGAGTTCAAGAAGGAGCTGTATGGGCTGAGTCTTCCACGATTCATGTGTTAAATGCCATTTTATCATTTACTATACACAGCAAGCCAAAATTAAGAAAATCAGCACAACATGCCATTTGTTCTATTTTAAAAGGTACTATTAAAATAAACCTAAAATGACCACTGTAACTTCTACCATTTGCATTGATTACTTCAGGTAGTGACATCATGAAAAGTGACGACCCTCCAACGCATCATCCGGCAGCACTGCACGTTGCCAAACATTTTTTAGCCCAATTAGAATCATCCGGAAAGCCAGGGCACGTGACCAGTACCTTACACGTTCTCTCTTTACTCAAAGATATTATTCATCAATTCCCTAAGAATTCTGTCAAGGTACGGATCATAATATATATAGTAGTAATTATCTGATTGTTTGATTTTATTTCATTCAAATAACTATGTACCAATAATGTTTGTTCTATAACAGTCACTTTGCGAAGGATTGCTTAGTATCATGACTTTGAACAATGTTCTGGTAACATCTTGTTGTTTACAAACCTTACACGGTTTGTTTGTGTCTAAGCCAACTGAAACAACTCTACCACCACAACTGAACGCACAGATCATCAATGCCCTCTTCGATTATCAACCAGCTTCTGGAGATGTGCAACCAACTTTAGCTTGGCTTGCAGTTATGCAGGAAGCATATTGCAATTTGGCCCTGTGAGTTTCATTTTGCAAATACATCTTGCAGATAATGTTGAATCAAATATGTTGTAACTATTTTTGATTCTTAGGCATGATCCTGAACTCTGTGCAGCTAATATTCCTCGAATCATTGAAAATTGTATGAACTTGTGGCTCTCCGACAAAACTGAAGTTATCTCTGGGGCATCCAACACATTGAAGACTCTGCTTGAAACTTGCATTGCTACTCTGTGCGAAAAAAAAGAACTTGCTGAAAGGTAATACAACTAACATACAGTTACAACAATGCCATGACTTCATTTCATAGTGGCTCATACATTGAATTAAACCCTTTTTAGGTGCAAACCAACATTAGTGAAATCAATACAGCTTATTCAAGGGGGACTGAGTAACCAGTATCATAGCGCATGGCATCATGTGCTCTTTCTCCTAGCTTCATTGATTAAAGTAAAAATTATATATTAATATGCTTCAGTTTATTAATTTTTTAATATTCATTGACCAACATGATTTTGCTAGATCATCGGACCAATTTGTGAAGCAGAACTAATGGAAATTTTGGTTAAGCTAAGAGATCTTCGCGACTCCTACAAGTTCTCTTATAATTCAGAAATTGATTACGCAGTTGGGGCTGCAGTAAAATCTTTAGGGCCTGAAAGAGTTTTGATTGCCATTCCATTACAAGTTTGTATTCTCTTATTCTCGATATTTTAGCGAAAAAACATATTTTCTAATGAAATGTTACAATAGGCTCCCACTGGTGAGGTGGACTTGAAAAGGAGTTGGATATTACCAGTCCTGAAAGATTGCACTTGCAGCGCAAGGCTCGGATATTTCATAAATAATTTATTACCTTTAGCAGAATCTTGCTGGTATTTATACTAATTGCTCTTTCCTACATTTTTCAAATGATTCATCCAAACAATTCATCCGTTGATAACCTTTTGAATTAGGCAAAAGTTTAAGCTTTTGAAAGAAAAAAACGACAGAATTGCAGCCCATAGCAATGAATTGCTGTGTTCACAAATTTGGGCTTTATTACCAAGTTTTTGTAACAATCCGCCAGATATAAAAACTAATTTTGCGGTAGGTAAAGCACGACACTTTTAGTAATTTAGTACTCAAATTTATGCAAAATATAATAAAAATTGTCTTATTACCTGTTTAGAGAATAGCAAAAATCTTGGGTACAGCCATAAGTGAGAGAAAAGACTTGAGATTGTCAATATTGTCCTCATTGCGAAAGTTGATTCAGAAATCAGTGGATAATGCAAATGTGAATGATGTCAATGAACTTGCAAAATTCGCAAAGAATTATTTGCCCCTGTTGTTTAATATTTATACCTACAAACCAACGGGCACTGACGAGGAAGGACAAAGACTTGCCTGTTTTGAAACAATCAAGGTAAATTTTTCCTCTTGAATCTTCACAATAATCATGTTTGGCAAATCTTTCAAAAAAATCTATTTTCCACTTTTTTTTTTAGATATACTTGAAAATCACACCTGCAGAGTTAATTGGAGAGTTGTTTGATAAAGCTGTGGAAAACTTGAGCCTATCAGATGCAACCGAATTTTTCAAGGAAAGCATATTTGATTTAGTAAGAGTATTGTGTCAGTACACAGACATTAGCCGAGTTCACGCGTTGTACAATAAATGTGTACCACTTCTCGAAAGTAAAGAACAAAAAGAGCAAAAAAAGGCTTACCGGTATGGATAAGTTCTTAAAATTTATGTTCTGGTTTTTGGGGTAGCATAAAAACTTCTTTTTTTTTTTTTTTTTGACAGATTTTTGGAAGATATTTGTGGAAGCAAAAGCTCAGTTTGTCAGCAATTTGTAGTTGACAATCGTAAGCTTATACAAAAAGCTATCATCAAAGCTACATCAGCATTGCACAAACCGAGCAAGGGAGTAAGTACTTTGTACGACAAATGGTAATTTTTTTTCAAGCTTGCTCTTTTCATTACATGATTCTTATCTCGCAGGCTCGAATCCGATGTATAACTTACCTAGTTGAGAAACATCCCCAGTTGGAAAAGACGAAATTCCTCAAGGCCATTGTACCCGAGGCTGTCACTTGTCTCAATGAATTGAATGAAAGATGCAGAACATCCTCGTACGCGCTACTAAATACTATTGCTGAAAAATTTTTGAATAACGAAGAGCACTTTAAAGAATTCATCGATATGTTGATAAATGGTCTCAATGAAAGCTCGACTCACTGCAGCACTTCATTACTAGCTCTTACTTCAATTACCCACCATTACAATGGTAAATAAAAGAATATTGTTTTTGGTGTAATATTAAAAACTAATTTTATTCGTAACTATTACAGGTGCTTTGGGAGTCGAAACTGTGCAAAAAATATTACAATTCACTTGTGATATTTTAAAGAGATCAAACCGAGAAACAACGTTGTCCGGGTTATCATTTATTAAAGTATATCTTTCAGCAATACCCACACCCTTAATCGCCCCGATGCTCGTGAACATTGTAAGTAAATTCAATGTAAACAAAACAACTTTTCCGTACTTCAATTTTTAAAAATCGTTTTCATTCAGGTCAAAGCACTGACAAGTATGACGGAAGATTGCAAACGACACTGGCGTCAAAAAGTTCGTGACATATTGATTAAATTAGTTAGGAAGTTTGGAGTAGATGTGATTGCCGATATGGTGCCTCCTAGTGATTTGGTGATGCACAAAAGACTGAAAAACATTCGTAAAATAGAAACAAGGAAGCAAACATTGAAAGAGCAAAAGATGAATGGTCAAAATGACGACGAGAGCCTCGAAGAATTCAACGTTAAACGAAAGCAGAAGAGGTAAGTCGTGTCAAAAGTACGACTCATTTTTATGTACACAAAGATACTTAATTTTATATTTGCGATAGTTTGGAAGAAATATTAGCCGATAGCGATGAAGAGCTTTGCGACACTGATGACGAAAAATCTGTCAAAACGCATAAGAAAAAACGAGAAAAGAAGACATGGATTCAAGAATCCACTGACAATATTGTTGACTTTGCCGATCCAGCAACTGCGAAAAATATTACGACTATGAAACCTAATATCAGTTCTGGTTTCAATACTACAACGAAGAGCAAAAGTTCCAGTTTCAAAACTGCCTCGGATGGACGTTTGATAATAGCCGACGACAGCAACGACAGTAGTGAAGATGAAGGGAAAAAAAAGAAAAAGAACAAGTTACCCTTTGATCCAAGTGATGGTCAAGGTAATGTTATTTTTTACACCTACATCATAATATACATTCATCGATGCACAGTCAATGGAACTTCGATCCACCCTATTACGGAACTATGGCGTGAGGTATTGTTCTATAATAGGGTTCTTGGACAGATCAAAGTTCCACTGAGTGTACATACAGAATCGCATCATTATTAAAATATTTTCACGTTTTCTGCAGATTCCGCAAGCGATCATGATGATAATGACTCCAAGACAATCTTATCTATGAAAAAAGTAGAAAAAAAGCGAAAGTTAAGTGGTAGCACAGCTAGTGTTATTTCAACCGCTAGATCCACAGCGACATCGAAATATCAAGGTTAACAAGGAAATCTTGGGTCTTAAATGACGGTACAAATTGTTTGAGAGAAATACTAATTGTTTGTGTTTTAGCTGGCGGATCTGGTATTCACCGTCCCCTGAAGAAGGTCAAAAAAGTTCTAGAACCGGGTGAAGAGTACCGTTCCAAAAAAGGTTTTGGTGACGTCAAACGGAAAGGCAAACCCGATCCCTATGCGTATATTCCCTTGAAGAGATCTGCATTGAACCGACGGTACGTCTAATTATTTATTAGTACGAAAAATATTCTACGTTACAAAAGTTACAATGAAACGTTTCTTGTTTTTTTTCAGAAACAAAGCGAAAGTCAAAAAATCTTTTAAGAATATACTGTCTCACAATAAAGAATACAAGAAACTGAAATCGAATTCTAAATACCAAATGAAATAATGTTATTTCTAAGTATAAGTATTATATGCGATAATACAAGTACAATGTTAATGTAATACTGTTTTACTTTATTTGGCTCCTAAATGATTCCTGATTAATTCCCAAATCATTAATGAGTATGTAGTTTTAGAGTAAAAATATTAATATTATAGGTAAAGTCGCATTGAGTAATTGAAAAATTTTTTATACAAATGTATTTGAGAAAAGAGAAATGAATCATTAATTGCTTTTCTATTTAATTAAACTTGTTATTTTTATATTTAACTTTATATTCGATGTAAACAAAATAAGAAATTTGTTTGTATTTAAAAAAACGCAGTAATAACTCAGAAGATTGGCTTTTAATAGCTACAAATACACTCTAAATGTTACTCTTGCAACATTTATGTCACCACAAACTACATAAATCTTTTTTAAAGATAATTTTCAGTTTGAATCCCATGTCATCTTTAAACGATTATGTATTATTTAAAAAAAATTTTATCTAAAAAAATCTGTACGATATAGTATGATTAATGTAAGAGATATTCCAAAATTAGGTGCAATTTTATATTGTCTTAACTTAAATCAAATAAAGCTTTTGGCATGAATATATTTTTCCGCACTCGGGTGGTTTTGGGAGGCTGGTACTTCCTCGGGCGAAAAAGCAGTTTTCCAGAACTCGTTCGAAAAGTCTCCTTTACGAACCTCGTTACGACCCTCGCCTTCGGCTCGGGCCGCAAACCTCTCGGTTCGCAAACAGAGACTTTTCAAACTCGTAGGAAAACTACTATTTCGCAATAGTGTGCGGAAAATAGGTGTTTTCCGTACTATTTTTAGTGTAGAAAATCGATTTTCCCGCATAGTGTGCAGTAAATATTTTCCGCACAGTGTACTAATTTTTTTCTGCAATTTAATGCAACTGATTTATGAAAAATCTCGCAAAGCCATTCTCTCTACCTGTTGCAACTTATCACACAAGGAATAAAAATGCTTCAATCACGTGACCATCAACCTTTCAAAATAGGCGATCAATCTTTTAATATGGGGAATCATAAAAACTAAGGTATTTAATTTAATTGTTTCATTGAAATAAAGTTACTAAACAAGAAAATAATTTTCCGCCCTCGGGTGGTTTTGGGAGGCTGGTACTTCCTCGGGCAAAAAAGCAGTTTTCCGATACTCGTTCGAAAAGTCTCCTTTACGAACCTCGTTACGTCCCTCGCCTTCGGCTCGGGCCGCAAACCTCTCGGTTCGCAAACAGAGACTTTTCAAACTCGTAGGAAAACTACTATTTTTATTTAAATTTAAAGAAAGTGTGGAGAATATGTAAAATTTTTTAACCAATTCCCTAACAGTCCATGATAATTTACAACTGACAAATAATGTTTATTTTTTTTAAATCTTCAATTTTGTCCTGAAATGTCAACAAATAATTTTATGGCAAGCAGTTGTTTAACAACCAATTAAAACGATTTAATTATTTTAGTGTTACGATGACTTTGTAAAAACATGAAAATATGTATCGCAAAAAAATGAATTTTTTATTTAAGATCTACAACATTCGTATTCCACAATTTGTTGCAGAATGTCAAATTTCTCAGCATTTTAGGAAAACAAACTATTCTTAATAATTCCAGCGATAACAAAAATATACCTATATGAATTTCTGCCAGGGACTCCTTTTTTGTTCATTGCACTTTCAATTTATAATTGACCGGTTTTTAACGGAAATGGTGTCATTTAAAAAAAAAAAACAAAAAATATGTACGCACCAGCAAGTCATTCACCACGTCCTACTTACCTCACTTACCTGTCGGTACGTATCGGTGAGCTACTACTACATAGCAAACTTTTCAAACCGAGTCCGTCCACGTGGGTGACTGTAGACTTACGTCATGAGCCGGTGTGCACACATCTCTGAGAAATCTTTACAATTTGGTCTATATATACTAACCAGACACTTTTTTCGCCACGTGCGGGAGCGAATCATGCCGCCACGCGGTCGGAGATTCAGTTATACCATTATGTCAGCATTTACAATGCCAGTGTTTATCCGTTGTCGAACTTGTCGATAACCAATACAAGTCTGCCAAAGCGTAACCAAACGGGACCCCTACGTAGCGGCAAATTCAAACGTTATAAAACCAATCATCTTATATTCAAGCTCTAACCCTTTACCCCAAGTACTTTAACCCCATAACCCTGTACTCTTAAGTCCTTAAACCAAATGACCTGGGGTGTAGAGTTCAATGAGTTAATAATCTCGTTTTTTTGTAAACATAAAAAGCGCGACTTATTACAAAAAAAGAAAATAACTAGTAAATCGTTAAAATGGTATTGATAGGGTGAAAAAAAAAAATTAATTATTGAAATAACTCGATTAGCTTATAGAATTAAGATTATTAACAAACATATTTTTCCACTCCCAATCCCTTGAGCTCCTAACCCTTTACCCCAAGTGCTTTAACCCTATAACCCTGTACTCTTAATCCCTTAAACCAAATAATCCTGGGTTCCGAGTTTAATTAGTAGTTAATAATTACATTTTTTTATCAACTGTAAAAGAGTTACTTGTCTTAAGAAAAAGAAATAACCTAAAGGAAATAATCCATTCACCTAACAACACTTTAATTTTGGTGCGGTATGGCGATCGTTACGTTACTAGGAGAAACATGCTAGATTTTAAATGAAGTCAAGCTCATCACTTATATACATGACAAATTAAAACTTTTTAAAATTAAATGTATAAAAAGCGACACAGTAAAACGATTTGAAATTTTTTACGGTATACATACGTTCAAAGTTTCTAAAAGATTTACCAGAAAAACCTAAATGGTTCGTTTGACTCATTTTAAAATCACGAACCATCGAGACTAAACAGCCAAAAAAGTTACATAAATTTTTTTCAGTTTGTAGAGTTAGGGTGTGATATTATTTCATTGTTCAATAAGATAAACTATAAAGGTAGGACAGATACATTACGAATGTTAAATAATAATTAAAACTACCTGTTTAATTTAATGCACAATCATTGAAAAAAGAAAAATTTTGATAGACTCATTCGTGATCAAGAAAATTTAGAAAAAAAGAAACTAACAGATGTCACGATGCACAAAAGTAATTAATCAAATTCAATGCGAGAATGAAATGTTGCCAATGTATCCTCTTGCCACTGTACCGTTTAATCGAACTTTCAAATTCCCAGCTGTTATTGATTTGATTAGCTAAAGTGGTCTAGTTTCTCCGCCAGGAGAGGGTGAAAAAAAGGAGCGCCCTGGGAGGGTTGATTAGCTGCCACACCCTACGCGTGAACTCACAAGTCTTGCTTTGGATTTTTCTGGCTCTGTAGTCACGGCATGTATTTCCTTCGCGGTACACGGCCAAGGTATGGTGTGTTATTGTTTTTGTTGACGTTTTGAATTGCCAAAGCAAACGTGAGTATCATTAAAAAAAATTTTTTTTAAATTCTGCATATATTTGGTTTTAGTGTTTCACTGGTAGAACTTGTTTCTTTTCCACTAGATGAATTCCATTATATGTTTTTTTTAGAATAGCGCGTCGAACGTATCTTGGATAACTTAACATTTTTCACGATACTTCGGTTAGAGAGTAGTGTTTTGTATCCACTAAATATAAAAAAAATAGTGTAAGCATACAAAAAAAAAAAAATAATAAAATAAATAAATGTCTAAAAAAATAAACAGAAATCGCACATTTGTAAAGGCTCAGTTTCATGATTTGTTCACTTCCTTTTAAAAAGTTTTAGAGTATATCCGTCCTAGTCGTAAATTGATTGGCTCAGTGAGTAAATAGTATTTCAGGACAAAAAACAAGAGAGCTTTGAATGTACTTACTTACATTAGATTAGTATACAACAAAAAATAGTGGAAATATTTCATTTTTGACAAAATCAGAAACTCCACACAAGTTGACACAAGTGAAAAAATTGTGTAATTTCAGCGTATACAAGTCATCAATGTATCTTCTGTTTCATTACGACATTTATGAAGTATAGTTCAAGTACACAATGTTGTCACTGATTTTTTCATTTTTTTCAAGGGACACTAAGAAAACACTCCAGTTATACTAAAAAGAAAAAAAATTTTTAATAATTATGTTACTGTACTGTATTAAATCATACGAGGGGATGCGTATCGGATTAGATAGAAAATAATTGTAGAGTTGGACTCTATGATAAAATTTTTTTCATCGTACATGCGTCAAAAATACTGTGACCATTTCAGATTCAAGAAGTATTTGTCACTATTAATTTTTCGTCAAGTACTGTAAAAAAAAACAAATAATGGACATCTTGGACCAAGATGCGGACAATAATGGCACATACATGCCGATCGTGTCGAGCCCGTCACCCTCCTGCTTGGACAGCAACGCCAACATAACGGATTGCCTGACGGAGGAGGTGAAGGAATGGCTGGAGAATGAAGTCGTCGGCATGAGGGTCTGGCAGCTCGTCGGGATCACCCTCTTCGCCGTGCTAGCCGCTATGATAATGCTGTGCTGCTGCCTGAGATTCCGGATACCCAGGACCAAGCAAGAGATCGAGGCCGATTTCATCAGGAAGTCGTTGGCCAGGCTTTTTAGAAAATTTCTGGACAAGGTTCCCGACAAGGAGATGGACGGGATGGATCTGAGGAAAGGTGATTGGTATCACAATTACTTTGCTTAATGATACGTCGCACGCAAAAAAGTACTTAAGTCAGAACAAAAAAGTCTTTGAAATTAAATTACCTCCAATTTGGGAAGAATGACGGAAAGACTTTGTAAGATTTCAGGAGTCATTTAATGACTTCCAATGTAAATTTTGTCTATTTTAAAGTTATATATTCTATGACTTTTTGTGACTTTAGGAGTCATTCAATGATTTTTGATGACTGAAGTTTATGGGCACCTTCAAAATACTATAGGTGACTTTTAAATTTTAAGTGGACGCTTTTGATTATAAAACTAATCAAATAATATATTTTATAATTTAGCTGTTTTAAAAAACTTTTTCTTCCTGATTAAGACAGGAGAAGGGGGTGGGTGAAAAAGTGGTACATCTTTTAAAAATGCTTTATTCTTATAGCACAATAGAGCCATATAAACTATAGTTGTAGTGGTCCAAAAGTTTCAATTATCAAAATCACTCACATCTGGTTATTTCGGTATTTAAATTAAGTTGTATTTTTTATGTTGTTAAATTACAGCGTTGCTCGGTGTTTTGGATATGTTGAATGCCGAGGGTCGAGACGAGTCGTCCGAGTCGGAAGACAAGAGGGCAATGTACGAGGGATCACATAAGGGATTTGGAGCCAAATTGAACGCCATATTTCATTGCATGAAAATTCACTACGACAGGGATGAGTCGGAAGCATTTAATACAATGATTTAGAACAAGCCATGGGAATTTCACGTTAATTTTAAATAATTAAATATACATTATTGTACGAACAATTTTCGTGTACACTTTAAGAAATATTTTTTACTGCATTACTTTATAAGAGTAGTATAAAAACAAAAGTATTGTGATTATGTGAAACAATGCTGTTCAATAATGACGATATTAATATAACTATCAATTTTGGTTTTTTTTTGTGTTATCTTTACGATCGAATCGTCTACAGAAACAAAAGTAGTTTTGAACTAGAAACGTCTACTATTTATTACTAAAAAATTAAAAATGCAATTATTGTACATCATTATTTAAATGTAATGGCATCTCATGATTTGAGGGTTATTTTAAAATGATCTCGCTTGATAGAATAAAGAGTGATCGAATAAATTACGATCCTAATGAATGTTACTGTATTACGTTTAAGATATAAGCTATTGATTTAAAAATTACTTAACATAAAGGCAATACTTTTTGTTATGAAAATTTATGTGATTTAATGACTGTTACATGAATAAAAAACAAAGTAAATTGATTGTGCACGTTCAAGTCCAGTCTCAAGGTCTCAAGGTAGTTAAGGTGAACCATTGATGTTAAGGAAATATGATTCCGTAAGTATTTTGCGCAAAGGATATCCAACAAATCCGTAGTATCTTTCCGTTCCTTTGCAATAGTACTTCTTTCTATCTGATTGACTGGCGTTATTGATCGTGAGAATGGCTTGGTAAGTAAATTCAGTTACCTTCGGTGTAACGTGTATTCTTTCTATACATATTAGAAAACATGTTTAATTGGTCAAACTATACTGAAAAACTTGACTCATAACACTTAAAAATAAATTTAGAACTAACTGGAGCTCACTACCACTTGACGATTATCGTCATACCATATGACGATGGAGAAATCATAGATTATAGCAGAACATATTAAAGAAATATTTTCACCTTTCTGAAAACTTCTATTTGCTTGTATGATTCCAAAAGATGCATTAGCTACCCCATCTGAAAAAAAAAAATTATTCATGCAACGTAAACTATTTGTATCCCTATTTTATATAGTAAATCGGCTTATCGTTCTCTTTTAAATACTCTTGTGCCTGTTTAGTAAGGACAAATGATATATCTTCCAGGGAAAATCCAGAAATAGAAATAATTTTACAAAAAAACCTCGAAAAAAACTACTTCCTATGTATAGCAAAGCAAAAAAAATAACTAAACGAATTACCGCTCTAAAGTTGGTATTAGTCATCCATCAATAAGAACCACGAAAGTTACTGATTTATTATCCTCTAAAAGTATATTTGGATTGTAAGAGATTAAAATTTGGAAATAGTCTGTTGAATGCAATAAAATAAAATTCATCAGAATTTACCGAGTTTAAGGCGCTTCTCCCGATAAATGAACTATTATACATTTGCTTGAAACTTTGTTTATTGCTAGATCATGTATTAATATACATTTTCTAAAAATTTGAGCAAAATTGTACGTTAATTTTTTGCGTAAAACAATTTCAAAGTTCGACAAATTTGTATGCATCTCTTCATCTAACGCACGGTGTCTTATGGCAACGGCTGTCGACTCACTGCTCTGTTTTATAAATTACTCGAAAAATAAATTATTTGTCTTTAATTAAAAACCATTACCACATAGTTGTAAGTTCCAGAAATGTTTTAGTTAATTGAATAGGAACTTCGTACGTTTACTTCTATTAGTAATTTAAGTTTCAAAGTAGCGACCAACGAAAATAGGAGGTTACTTTTGTAGCGAAATAATTTTGTGAAACGCAGTTGGCAACATGTATCTTCTGCACCACATTTAAATTAAATTACGCTCATAGGTATGCAGAATACGTGCACAAAATTTTTTTTTCCAATAATAACGAATCAGATAAGGTAAATAATAATTATTATTATGGAACTAATTAAAAAATACAAGATTTTGGTGTTTTCTTGTATATTTGAATTTATGCTTATTAACCTTACAATTATTAATCACAGTTATATTGTAATGAATACATAAATTACACAACTTTTAAGTAGAGAAATGATTAATTAAATTTTGCACAAAAGAAGCATTATTTGTAATACGTACTGAACGTCCACATTTTTTCTTTTAAAAATTCTTCAAACAAGCTTTTTCCTAAAGTAACGAATTTTTTACGTAAATGATTATACGTGATTCCTTGTGCGATAATTTTTTTGCAAACGGTGGAATTAGTTATTTTTTAAAATAAATCTAAGTCTGGCATTTTTGATCTTATGAAGTACTGCTAATTTTTTTTAGTTGCAAAATGATCGAAGGGGATCAATTTTTTTGTCACATCTAATTCATCGATAAATTGTTTACATAAGTTTTCCAAGATTTCCACGTCAAACATTGCTTCGTGAAAATTTCCACTGATTTAAAAAAAAATCTTTTGCAAGATTCCTTAGCTTTAAACTACCTGGACCTTTTCTCTCTGAAAACGCTTTTTTAAATAATGATAAAGAATCAACAAAGCCATGTATAATCGTTTGAAAATAATCTCTTAGGTTTTTTTTGAATGACCCTAATCAGTAACGTATGATCAAAACGACTACCATTATGAGCAATAACAATACACGTTTTTCCTACTTTATGTAAAAAATCACGTAAGCCAGCAAGTGCTTCAGGTAACAAAATCGTTTTCACTTCAAAGCCATCATAATAAATTTTTGGTCCTCTGTTACTTAATTTGGTTGCTAGAGATGCTTCTGTGTCGATATTTTGAGTCGGTGTAACATATACAGAAAATTGTGCTTCTCCAGTTTTGGCAGCAATTTTAATTATATCACAAGAATCTATATTTAAGTTCGTCTTTTCTAAGTCGTAATAAACAACAACGACATTACCAATTACTGTAGTTGTAAAAAATTTCGAAATTTTTGCTTTGAACATTAGTCATTGAAAGATCCGACTAGTAGCTTGGACTTTTGATATCTTCAGTTCTAACTCGACAACTTTGTCTAATACTGTGATTCAGACTCCTTTTATATTTGTACTCTTTTGTTGATCTTAGTTATCCCTCCCTCAGTCTTTTTTTATCTGCTAGATCTAAAAAATTGCAGGTATTTTTTCCAGGTAAATGTTGCAATAGTAGTTTTCCTACGAGTTTGAAAAGTCTTTGTTTGCGAGCCGAGAGGTTTACGGCCCGAGCCGAAGGCGAGGGACGTAACGAGGTTCGTAAAGGAGACTTTTCGAACGAGTTCCGGAAAACTGCTTTTTCGCCCGAGGAAGTACCAGCCTCCTAAAACCACCCGAGGGCGGAAATAGTAGTTTTCCTACGAGTTTGAAAAGTCTCTGTTTACGAACCGAGAGGTTTGCGGCCCGAGCCGAAGGCGAGGTCCGTAACGAGGTTCGTAAAGGAGACTTTTCGAACGAGTTCCGGAAAACTGATTTTTCGCCCGAGGAAGTACCAACCTCCCAAAACCACCCGAGGGCGGAAAAATATTTTTCACTCCTACTACTGATTCATATCCAACATTGAAATGCATAATTCCGGTACTGACACGTATATCACCCTGTTTACTACAACTATAGTTTTCATTTTTCGGAAAATGATTCACCATGACGCTGTTCAAGCGTTTATTGCGTTGGCTCATAGCTGTTATGCAAAATTTATGATCATTGGCTGCGTAAATTTCAAAAAGAGTTTTTATATCAGTGTACAATTCTTGGTTTTTGAAAGTGACAGCATGGAACTTCTCAAAATTGACCTTGGAAATTCGAGAACTAGCACACCACATACCGCAAGTGATATGTGAACCAAATAAATGATCTGGGAGGGAAAGTAATGTTGATTTTAATTTCGCCGTATTTTTATTATTTTGATGAATAGAAAAATTAAAAAGTTTCTTTATGTGTGCGATGACATTTTTTTTCTTAAATTCACTGTGTTTCTTTCTTAACTCATACAATTTCTTAATGAAATTTTTTTTTCAGATGATTCCGGTCTGCAAATTTTAATATTTTTTTTTTATTTTCTTTCCTGATCTTGTCGATGGCTACAGCGTCCTCAACTCCAATGACGACTCTGACTTCTATTTTGTCATTTTTCAAAGACATACTGTCATTTACTAACTCAGCGGCTACGTCATCTTCTATCGATTTGGCACTACCTGTATAATTTTTGTGGCAATCGTGATCAGTCGAATCATGGCCATATTCGCACATTGTGCAATTCCTGTTTCGAGTGCGATAATCTAACACTTTGCTCGATAACAAACCAATAACTGCCCCGTACCAATTCAAAGAGTCGTCACATTTGCCGGTGCTTCTCCTACTCCAGCCCATGTCATAAGACACTATAATATTTATTACGTCAAGGAAGTGAGCATCAAATCCGGTGATACTACCTTTTTTTTCTTCTTCAATGGCAGCATCACCTCCAGATATATTTCCTCTGTCACTTTTTCTGGACTGTAAAAGGAAAAGGAAAGTAGGCTGCTGTAAATGCCATGCAACAAATTGAATTTTTCTCTCTTTTAGACGTGTTACGTTATGTACATCTTTATTTGCATAATAATAAATGTTGCAATGTATTCTGTAAACGACATTGTAAAAAATCAAATAAAAGTATATACAATGAAGCAAGTGTATAAATAAAACAAATTATACAGTTAAGTATACAATATAGTTAGTGTATAAATAAAGAAAATATACTATAAAGCTTACGAAAAATACTAGTTACAATAATACTATTTTTTTCTCTACCTTAATTAGAAAAAAAAAAAATTAAAATAAGTTTTAAAAAATTCTGTCAACATTAAGCAAAATAAACAAAAATTTTACAATATCTGAAACTCACAATTCCATACAAAGGTCTTTCATATTTTCAATAACCAACCGGCGTTCTTCTTGTCTTGCTTTAGCACAACTTTCTTCGGCAACTTTTGTTGTTGCAGCTCCAACAAAAGTCAAATATCTTGCGTACAACTTGTATTCGATTGACGGCATGTTTAAACATGCGAAAAGCCGATTTGA